TCAGTACTACAGTCTTCAGTACTACAGTCTTCAGTACTACAGAGTCAGTACTACAGTACCACTCCTCTCTTACTTGGTCATGGTGAGTGCGAGGTTGTAGGCGGCCATCTTGATCTTGTTCTGGGCCTCCAGGTGAGTCATCCCATCAGTGCTGACTCCATCAATGGCCAGAATGACATCACCCTGGACCAGGTTTCCCTGTGCCGCCTTACTGCCCGGAGTGATCTGTCAAACAAGAACGTTATTAACCTTTGACCTATGGTTTGACATCAAAGTCTTCTTCACCGTCTTCACATGAAAGAAAAACCAAAAGATGGAATTTGTTTTGTTCACTGTTCTCGTTCCAATAATCCCCAGACTGGACCGGGACCGGACCATGTGACTGTCCGGTCAGTGAACACCACGGCCTGAATTCAGAAATTGTGAAAAGCTGCATGAAAAGAAGGCAATCATTGAAATGGAAGAATAATGAATCAACAGGTACGTTGGTCCACAACGAGGGGGAGTTAATCTGCCAATCTATCTTAGTGAGGGAGAGAGAGGCAGAGAGAGAGAGAGAGAGGTCGACAAGGTCACGTCCTTCATTTACAGCCCAGATAGAAAAACAAATTCTAAATGAAGGACCAAACAGAGCAGCAGAAATAAACTTCATCATATATTCTGAGGTATATGGATGTATTTTGTTGTGACGGTGACGACAGCAGCTTCTCTGCTCATATCTTTGTATGGATGAAGTACAACACGTGGCTGTGGATAAAAAGGCCAGGTCGTGGACCAGAAACAACTGGGTTTATTTCCTAATGACTTCTGAATAAAAACAATCAGAAAGTGGAGATTGGTGAACAACAGTATGGTTTCAGACCACAGATGCAGTATTTGCCTTGAGGATGCTGATGGAGAAGATCAGAGAAGGTCAGAAGGAGCTCCACTGTGTATTTGTAGATTTAGAAAAGGCATATGGCAAAGTGTAGTCAGGAGTGGCAGAGAAGTATGTTAGTTTGGTGCAGGACATGTATGAGAATATTACAACAGTAGTGAGGTGTGCTGTTGGGAGGACAGAAGACTTCAAAGTGGAGGTGGGACTACATCAAGGATCGGCCCTGCTGTGGTGATGGACAGATTGACAGATGAGGTCAGACAGGAGTCCCCATGGACTATGATGTTTGCAGATGACATTGTGAGCTGTAGTGAGAGTAGGCAGCAGCTAGAAGAGAACCTAGAGAGGTGGAGGTTTGCACTAGAAAGAAGAGGAATGAAGGTCAGTCGCAGCAAGACAGAGTACATGTGTGTAAAGGAAAGGCAGAACAGTGAAAGAGTGAGGTTAGAAGGAGCAGAGGTGGTGAAGGTGGAGGAGTTGAGGTACTGAGGACCAACTGTTCAGAGCAGAGGAGACTGTGGAAGAGAGGAGAAGAATAGAGTACAGGCAGGATGGAACAGCTGGAGAACAGTGTCAGGAGTGATCTGTGACAGAAGAGTGTCAGCTAAGGTGAAGGGAAAGGGTTACAGGACGGTGGTGAGCCCAGCCATGATGTATGGTTTAGAGACAGTAGCAATAGGCAGAAGACAGGAGGTGGAGCTGGAGGTGACAGAGTTAAAGATGCTAAGATTCTCTTTAGGAGTGACAAGAATGGACAGGATCAGGAATGAGGTCATTAGAGGGACAACACAGACAGGAAGGATAGGAGACAAAGAAAGAGAAGCCCGATTGAGATGGTTTGGACATGTGCAGAGGAGGGACAGTGGAGACATTGGTAGAAGAATGTTAGAGATGGAGCTACCAGGTAGGAGAAAGAGAGGAAGGTCAAAGAGGAGATATATGGATGCAGTGAGGGAGGACATGCAGATAGTTGGAGTCAGAGTAGAAGATGCAGAGAACAGGGAGAGATGGAAATCAATGATTCACTGGAGCAACTCCTGAAAAAAGGGACAAAGCCGAAAGAAAAAGAAGAAAAAAAAGATGCAGCTTCAACATGAAGTCAAATACTCTATAGTACTGCATACTCCCAGTAGTACTGTGGTCCATGGGCACCTTTGGAACGATCCTTCATTTTTCTTGAATTCAAACTGCTTTTCAAACACAGTCTCACACACACACACACTGGGTCGACCACGTCACGTCACACCTCGGCCGGTGCCTGGCCCACGCCGACTGAACACAGGTGTTGGCTGGGTCTTAAACCTGACCATCTGTTCACACAACATTCCCTCAGACTTTCACACACAAATGTTCTGTCTGTGTTCTATCACCGCTGCACAACAAAATTTGTCCTGTAGAGGTCACCCAACAAGGAATACAAGGCTTCACTGGGACTGTTGACCTGAACCACAGGGGTTCACTGACTAACAAACAAACAAACAAACAAACAAACAAAATAAAAATATTGAAGAAATTTAATTATCTGTAAGAAACTAAAACTCTGCCCTCTAGTGTTGATGCCCCAGATAAAAACATAGTAGGAACTACAGGCACAGGTGGGAGTTGAACCCAGTATTTTCTGGTTATGAGACAGATGCTTCGCCCACTAAGCCACAGCGCCACCTATAAATACTGCCCAGAAACCAAAGAAGAACGTTGTGTTCTGACGTAGCAGCAGCTGACATCTATCTGGTCTACATCTACATGATGTCACGTGGTGATAAACAAAATGAATGTGAACATCCTGCAGCACTGTGGAGCAGTGTGTGACACAGCTGCACCACAGGAAGTGACGTCACGACGTTCAGGAAGCTCTGTAAGTGTTCAGTGGAGTTAAAATGGTCTACATGACAGGACTGAGTCTGTTAGACGCAAACACACACACACACACATATATATAAATATATAAACATATATAGATGTGAGGTAACTGATAACAACCTGTGTGTGTGTGTGTGTGTGTGTGTGTGTGTCCTTCAGAAGCTATAAACAGCCTCCTGCTTGTCAGCAGCTCCAGACGCTCACTGCCACACTGCAGACCTGACACCTGAGGTGTCAGCTGCTAATGCTAATGCTAATGCTAACCCTGCTTATGAAACTTTGTCTCCAGAACATTCAGTATTCATCATTATTGTTGATCTATAGATCTACAGATACTGTCCGTTAACCTGTCAGTATCACAGGGACAACAGGACAACAGGACAACAGGTTTTTATACTGTGGCTCAGTGGTTCCTTATGACAGGTTTTTATACTGTGGCTCAGTGGTCAAATCATCTGTCTCGTAAACAGGAGATCCTGGGTTCAAATCCCAGCAGTGCCTTAGAGCTCATCTATGTTTCCCAGCATACAGTACACCACCTCCACAGTGATGTATTGTTGTGCATGTATTAAACAAAAGTGAAACATGTCTTTGAAACATAGTAAAAGGTACTACTGGGACTTGAACCCAGGACCCCCTGTTTACAAGACACGTCCAACTTTGACAAAGACTTCAAGTGCCATGAGTTAGATCCAGTACTTAGTGGCACCTCCGGTGGCAGCCCGTGTGGGTTGTGGGATGAATAACTGATGATGTCACGTTGGTTTGATCAATGTCACATCTTAGTTACGTTGAGCCTGACTTGAACAAGTGAGAAGGTTGTCAGACTGAGTCCCAGTTTGAATCACAAAGAATGAAATGCTGGGATTTGATCCCAGGGTCTCCTTCAACGGAGGCATTCACCACACGCCAAATAAAAAGTTCAAATGAGAGCTGGTATAGATCACAGCAGATCACAGCAGATCACAGTAGATCACAGAAGATCACAGCAGATCACAGCAGATCACAGCAGATCACAGTAGATCCCAGTAGATCACAGTAGATCACAGAAGATCACAGCAGATCACAGCAGATCACAGTAGATCACAGCAGATCACAGCAGATCACAGTAGATCCCAGTAGATCACAGTAGATCACAGTAGATCACAGTAGATCACATCTGATTCCAGCTCATCTGTCTAGCTCATCTGTCTGTTAAATCCCACACTTGCTCTGTTTTAAATCCTTGCGATGAAGCAAACACTGAGGGATGGAAGGAAACGTCAGCGCCCCCTGTCCTTTGCTGACTCCACTCTGGACGTCCCACACAGACCCACTGTAGAAGATCATTTTAAACAGTGCCCACTAGCGTTAATTCACGGACATATTTGCTGCCTGAAAGAAAAACCCTGACACAGACGAAGAGACAAGATGACCACGGTGCTGGTCAGCTGTTACTACCTGACTGAGCCTGCTGTCTGAGTGTGTGTGTGTGTGTGAGAGAGTGTGTGAGACACCCTTTGTCGTTGATCTGAGGCCAAATTCGGTAGAAAAACGGATGCATTTGATTGTTTGAAACCCTTGGTTGTTATTTCCCCTACTGGACAAAAACTGACACTGCACCAGTAACAGTACTGGTTTATTACAAACTAATATCACTAGGAGTTTGGTGAGAGCCTGTCAGTAAGATTGAATTCATTAGTTGTTGCTCTGATGGATGACACGTGGCCACGGGTCAGAACAGCCACTCAAAGGTCACCCCACTTCACCAAGTGTCTAAAGAGTCAGGTTATAAATAGTTGGTGCTCTCTGTTCTCCTCCTGAGGTGGAGCTGCTCATTCTTCACTACAGCAGCAGCAGCCAGAGGACTTCATCAACACTGATATAAGAACAAACTGTGATCAAACCAAATCTGACCAGAACTGTGGAGGAGGAGGAGGAGGGGGAGGAGGAGGAGGAGGGGGAGGAGGAGGAGGAGGGGGAGGAGGAGGAGGAGGGGGAGGAGGAGGAGGACAGTGATGGACGTGATGGACGTCCTGACGACAGTAGCTGCAGATTCTCCACTAAATCTAGCAGTGTGGACTCATGGGAGAACCTCTCCGTTTATTCACAGAGGCCGGGCTGTGAAACCAACACCAGCTCCACTTTTAGGACTAGTCCTGGCAGCCATGGCACCCCTGCAGGCCTCTGGGGTAAATGCATCTGGGGCCTGCCTCAGGACCGTCGTCTCACTCAGACAGAATGGATCTCAGCAGAGCTTCTTCACAGCAACAAAGATTCAATGATAAGCAATAACAAGATACGAATCCATGGTTCAGAGCTGACATAGTGAAACAAAGTCACCACAGGGGGCAGTAGTCGACCAGGAGCCCCTGTGTCTGTGAGTTACTACAGGAAAGGTCTGTCTGTGGGTGAGGTAACGCTAGGACCAAAGAATGTATTTTCATATAGTCGAGCTGAATGAGATTAGCCAGATTAGCTAGCTGACTCTCCTCCAGGAATAGAACAACAGGTGGCAGTATAAACACTTTGTCAAAGTCAAAGAAAGCACCAACCAAACCACTTGACTGTTTGAAGAGGCTCTTACCTTGGAGATGGTCAGTGGCATGTTAAAGTCTTTCCCTCCTTGCATCCTGAAGCCCCAGGGCCCGGGGCCCGGCAGCGACACGGTGTAGGCGCTCATTCTGTCAGAGGTGACTGGAAACGTTCCCGCTGTGATGACAGACGACAGCAGAACTGAAGCAAAGTCCTGGGGAAAGTCCTGAGCAGCAGCCGGAGGGATGATGGGAAAGGAGGGCCGACACAGAGGAGCCTACGGAAGACGGTGACAGAGATAAAGACGGGGGAGAAGGGTGAGACAGGGTGAGACAGGGTGAGACAGGGTGAGACAGGGTGAGACAGGGTGAGACAGGGTGAGACAGGGTGAGACAGGGTGAGACAGGGTGAGACAGGGTGAGACAGGGTGAGACAGGGTGAGACAGGGTGAGACAGGGTGAGGTACGGAGACCAAGTGGAGGTGAAAATTCACAAGAATCAAGAAAACCTTCAGATAGAACAACAAAGAAGAAGAAGAAGAAGAAGAAGAAGAAGAAGAAGAAGAGACGTGCCTGCTGAGACGAGCTGAAGTGACAGCCTAAGAATAGACACAGGCAGCTCTGTGTGGGGGGGGAGGCTGGGGGGGGCTGGGGGGGGGGGGGGG